GCATTTCCTTCATTTGTATGTAATAATTTTCAAGAGAAAATCTGAGAGAAGAAAAATAACTCAGAGAAAAGAGGGGTTGTGTTTTTTGCACTTTGGTATAAATAGACATTTTGTTTATGTAATTTATTTCTCCCTCAAATTTGATTAAATAGAAAATTTGCATTATTTTCTTAACAATATTGAACATAATTACTAATGGGGCTTAAGGAGATACCTTACAACAACAACTCCAATTTCTCAAGCTTCAAAGTTTTGATGATTTGGTTTCTCAAGCTAATCAACTTATACAAATCGGCAAATCCTCCAAACATAATGAAAATCCTATCATTTGCAATTTTAATGCTGTTTTGTTGAAGGAATCGATATTCACTCAATAAAAATCATCAGGATTTTCTTGAGAACGTATTCAAGGCTAAACTCAAGTAAGTGGATTTTCTTCGTAAGGTAATTAATTAACCTTAACTTTTTTTATTTTTTTTATTTAGGTTTTTGATTTATTGTATAATGGAGTATACTCTAATTTAACACGTTAGTTCTCTATTGTACATATTATTATTGATCCAATTTTGCTTTACAAGAATTACTCATACCGTCATACTTTTATATGTTTAGTACAATAATTTATAACGAAATCATCGTTTGAACTTAAAACCTAAAGTTACAAATCTTATAATCTTCCGTATTATATTACTCCGTTTCATAATCTTCTTTACCTATACGTATTGAAGTAGTGAATTTATAATTTATTTGCATTGGTTTTTATTCAAAATCAAGTCCTAGTTATATAATTATTAAGTACTTATGGAATTTGATCTTTGATTTTCTTATGTTCTTTTAGAATGAAGCAGTAGTTGAGGTGAATGAATGGATAAAACAAGAGACAAACGGCTATATAGAAAAGTTTTTTCTTGATGGAGCCTTTGATTGTAAGGACGAATCAAGTAATGGTTGTCCATGCAAAGGGCCTCTATTTCAATGGAAAATGGGAAGATGAATTTTAGGAATCAAACACGAAAAGGGAGAAGTTTTACCTTCTCGACGATAGTAAAATGGTTAAAGTGGCCTTTATGAAGGATTATGGAAGGTCGTGTTTTTATGGTACATTTGATGAATATGATGTTCTTAAGGTTTCGTATAAGCTAATAATTATAAAAACTTGAGGAGATTCTCAATGGTCATCATTCTTCCAAAAGAAAGATTAGGGCTACCAAATTTAGTCCAAAAATTCCGAGAGAACCCTAATCTTTTGTCGTAAAGGCATATGGTTTTAAAGAAAGAGGAAATAGCTCGGTTATGGATTTCAAAATTTAAATTCATGTATGATTTGATTCCTTCAGAAGAAATGAAAGAATTGTTAGAAATTAGGTGAGTGGAAGTAGTGGTGGGATAGAAATGTAAGGGCTTTATTGTTGCATGGGTAATTTACATTGCTTAGTTTCTTACATCACAACTACATCATAGCATATTTATAGTTGCATGTATGTCGGTTAATGCATGTTCACCGACTTACATTATAGCTTTCCTATGCATGCTCTAGAATTATCTAGGTTCTAGCTTAGATTAGTTATAGTCTAGATTTTTCTTAGGATAGTTTACTTCTAGATATTTCTTTTGACATAGAATAGGCTTACTCCTAGATTTTTCTAGATTATTAGTATTTTAACAAGAATTAGGGCTAACATTCCCTTTTCCCGAAAATAATGATGAATTCACTTGTATAGTTGAAGGGGGTGTTAGAAGAAACGTTTCGAAGATCCTTCAACGTACACAAATCGAATACAATGAGAGTGGTACAGAAGTATTTTTACTTGGCCAGTTATCAACTTCATTGCTAATCATCCCTTCGTATTTGTGATAAAAGAAGACGTACGTGACACTATATTTTTCCTAGGAGCGGTTTTTAATCCTCTTAACAAAGAGGACATTAATGAAGACGGCGATGAATCTGATGAAGAAGATGTGCCTAACATGACAAGTACAATCTTTCATGAATCCAAAGATGGAGAGTCCAATGAGGATTTATTAAGTCTTTTGTATTAATCGAACTGTTTTTTTTTTTCCTTCCTCTATTTAGTACAACCTAGTTCTATGATTACCAAATGATGAGCACCACCAAGAGGACTTTGACCAATTAAACTAGTTTGTTGATCATATACTATGAATATATTTTTTCTTTAAGTGTATTTGGCTTTTAAGGTTTAATTCTGAGTTAGCGAAAATAATAATAGAATTACCATATAATTTTGACATATTGAAACGCAATTTATTGTTGTTTGTTTTTTTAAATTTTCCTTAGCTTCAGTTTTCAATGATAATTATTATTTTATTTTTGTATTAATAATATGTCCTTTTTCGAGTTTGGGTTTCATGTGAGCTTTGAGATGTCTAACAGACTAACACAGTATGTGAAAAGTAAATTAGAGATATTTAGGAATATAATTGTTATAACATACAAGCACATTAATATTCACCTACATCATTTAAATCAGTATTATTCATGTTATCCGTTCATAGCATATGGCAGTTGGGTCATCTGCAGGAGTTTGGTTACTATTAATATCTTAGTAGTCACCTAATTGCAATTAAGCACGTTAATTTAAAAGTGAAAAATGTTTCAGATTTCTTCTAGCAATTATGGAGCCCAAGACAAAACCTATATGACTTCCCTCAAGGTTCTTTTGTCCATTAGAAACAATGTCTTACAAATTAACACTTCTATGTGTATAATCGTCAATATGAACATATCTTAAATGAGTTAAATCAGATAACTCGTACTGTTAGAGATATGAGATTAAATTATATCAGAAAATATATGTGTGATATATTTTCCATATAATATTGATATTATCATGTGAATAATGTATTTAGGTTTTAAGGATACACATATATTTTCCGATATGATTTAATCTCATATCTCTAACACGTACTTTCAAACAATTTCCTCGAGTTGAAAAAAGATGAGTACCTAATTCTTTTTACACTAGAACAGTAGAGCACAATAACAATATACGGAGTACTTTCTACATATACAAGCGAGAGTGTAGCAAATTGATTCACATTAATGTTTCAAGAGGAAAATTATTTGATGTATTACATACCCTAAATAATACTACTCACTGTAAAAGTATAAAACTCATGCATGTGCTTTCATATCTAAATTTGTTTTACATAGTCAAGTATTTACACAATATAAATGGTACATATTCTTATAATAGTAATAACTTTATTCGTTTCTTATTCTTAACTTAACTCAATAATCATTCAATTTCTATAGTCCAAGTCAAAAAAGCTTAATTTAATTCACCCAAAATAACATAAACATATAGGTAGTCATCATCTAACCACTAAAAACCCTCTTTTAACCATTTTGAGTATATGATAGTTGGGTATACTGCAAGTTTTTACTCGCTATTTTTAACTTTCAAATTTATTAAACTTCATTAAATTATTCTATATAATAAGATATATATAATGAGAGTTCATATAATATATAGTCCAATAATCTTATAAAATTATGGAACAACAAATAGCTGATCAAGAGAAAAATATTAGTAGTGAGTTACAAAGAAGGAGAGGTAGACCAAAGAAATTTAATACAATAATAATGAGCAAGAAAAATATTAATAATAGTGGTGTTATTATTGATGAAGATAAAAAGATTAGGACTTTGGATGATATTGATCAAGATGCTGCTGCTGTATTTGTTGCTGATACTACTCAAGCAGAAGAATCCACTTCCCGAGCTGGCGGCCGTGAGGTGGTTATTGCTATTGGAGATGTCACCAGCAAGCCTAGGACAACCAATGCCGTCCCTAAGGTCGTTGTTCCTACTAGACGACGTCGTAAGAGTAATCCTAGACGTTCACCCTTGGCTTAACTCCTAGATAGAGCATGCATTTTTATTTTATCTAATTATGATTTTAGTCATACTAGCTATTTACATAAACTTACATGAAATAGTTTTGTGTTAAGTTTCTTAGTATGTAACATGTATAACTAAGATTTCAACTCATAATTTAGGGTTGGAAGAGATAATTATTTGTAATTGGGCGATACAATGTAACATGATGGCATATCATCTAGGTGAAATTAACGCGATTTGATAACAAACTTGCTCCGTTAATTAATATTGCGTCGAATATTGGGTGATCAATCGTTGTATCCAAATTGTGAGTTAGTTTGCCTTACTTGTTGTATTGGTTATTTTTGCGTATTATGAATTTCTTAGGTCTTATTAGTAAGCTTGAACATTGTTAGTACAAGTAGTAGTGTAATGCTAATTTGTTTTTCGAATACTCATCCATCATCCCGCAACCATGAGCTAACTCACAATTACTACCTATGTTTCACATTATGCGTATTTTTCTTTTTTATATCTCACAAAGGATACTAATTGTTGCACATAATATAAAAAGGATGTTCACATGATGTGTTAATGAATGCTTCGTATGTAAGGCCAGAATTTTAGAGTTCACTAACTGAATTGCTTTGGCTCCTTTGGCCTGGATTCGATTAGGCTCAAATTTTTTCCTTAGGATAGGAATTAATAAAAAATAAATATCAGAAAATATATTGATGCGAGATACCTACCAAATTTGATATGATGAATTTAGAATATACTACGTATGCAATTTATGCAAACAATAATCTTTAGGCAATAGGTTATGCTAAATTCTGATATTAGAATCATATCTTTTTTTATGAAGATGATTTTTTTAAATTTCCTTCTGATTTCCACATCTTTAACATCACTTCCATTAGTCATATCGTTGGACAGTATCACCTATTGCGGCCTTGCGGGACACTTGATCTTGTTCTCTAAGGGAAGCGCGACAAAGTTCTTGGAAACTTTAATATTTGGAGGTAGGGTGGGTGCTCGAGGAGGGTAAAGGAATCCCTCTTTCATGTAGTCTCATTTAGTAGAATTCGAATCTTAACTTTTAAAATATAAGGTAAGATAATTTATCAAGTGAGGCCTACTTTATTTGCTAGACATTAGTATGTAAAGTTGTGTTTGATTACTTAAAGCATCATATTCATATACAAGTAATACTTTTTACTTTAGTGCAAAGGACATTATTATATCTTTAGGGGACAATTCTCTCCCTCATTTCCACCAACTTCTAATAATATTAAAACACGTGAAACCATCAAAACATAGAGTATTGATATGTTGCCATAAGCTTTTTTTTTTAGTCATAAAAAATCCAGAGAATTCAACAAATCTCGGCTTCTAGTGTCTCCCTTGAATGATTAGAACCAATTTAATCTGATTTGATCCGATCCGATCCTACCAATAATCCTTGTCACAATCACAACTCTTGCCTTGGCTATACTTGCTTGCTACTCTAATAAACTAATTACTACATGCTTAGCATGTACTTTAACAATGGCTGAAAATGTTCCTTTAAGAGCATCAAAGATAGTCCAAGAACTAGCTACTAAAGGAGACGATATACCAGAAGAGTACCTCTACAAAGATGGCTTCCCTAATTCCATTGACGCTCCTGATGATCTATGGAGAGATGATCTTCTCATTGATTTCTCTCTTCTCTCCTCTTCCTCAGCACCAGAACTCGAAAAGCTCCGATCAACTCTTTCTCAATGGGGTTGCTTTTCTCCTAGCTCAAACGTGTGATTTTAGATTATACAAAGCACTACTACATTGAATAATCCCATAAAAAATACAAAAGCCTAGAAGTTGACTAAAAATTGTCTTATATATACTACTAGTCTATTACTACAGTAGCAATGACAGAAGTTCTTCCTTAAACAAGAATTAGAATCAATGCTAGTTCAAGAGATAGCTAAAAAGGCGATAAAATGGGAGAGGAATACCTTTGCAAAGATGGTCTTCCTGAAGCCGTTGATGCCCCTGATTTGTAGCGAGAGAATCTGGTCATTGATCTAAGCATGAGTTAGTTGTAATCCAAGCTGAAATGCTGGATCAAGAAACCTATAAGGGGAACCCAAGCATATAACTAAAATAGGCATAGATCTAAGCATGAGTTAGTAGTAATCCAAGCTGAAATTCTGGATCAAGAGGGAGGCAGAATGAGTGATGACATACCAGAGAACTTCCTGCACAAAGGTGGTTTTGATGAAACCATTGTTCATGCCCTTAACTTCTGATTTTATGAATAGCAGATTACATAGTACGCTCTTTGAAATCTACTTTTATTCCACAGCACCTGCTGCTGGAGCTGAACTCGTAGAGCTCTGATAAAAAAAAAAAATGAAATCAGTGGTTTTATAATACCCTACTCAAATTTATGTTATTCATAACCATAAATAATGCTTGCACTCTACATTGCAACCCAAACTCAGTAAATCAAATCTATAATGAATATCCAATTAAAAAAGCCTGATTAAAATGAAATCCTGGCAGTTTTGCAGTTTTTGTTTTTAAAGTGCCCCTCAAAAGTTATTTAATGATCAATGAGATGATCAGCGTGACTCTATTCATTCAAATTGTTAGAAAAGGGCGTAGACCTTGTAGAGTACTTGATGCATTCAAAATGGCGAATCTTCTACTTTTAAGGGTAAAACTAGTTTGCGTTTGACTGTCAAGCATGTTTGTAGTCTTGCAGAATAGAACTTCAGATAGAGTAAATCAATTTGATTCTGAGTTCAGTTAGCATTGTACACCTTTACACTTAAAAAGCTAAAGCCTACAAATCATAAAATATTAGCAATGTCTTAGCTACTACTAAGAGGGAAAAATCACAACGTGAATCACTTGGACATTATCATATGGTTTCGAAAAAATGAAATGACTGCATAAAAAATCAACAAGATTAAACAACCACCAAAGACAATATAATCTCTAAGAAAGCACGAGATACTGTCATGAAATCATTATAGTTGGATCACAATTATTGGCCAAGGCTCCAAAACTTAGGCCTACCTAATGCAGTAAAATATTAGGCCTCTCCAAAATATGCAATTAAATATTACCATTCAAATTTAAAAAGTACAAAGTTTTATACTTAAATTTCTTATGACAAATTCATAATAACATGCTTGTTTGAAATCAACCAATAATAATTAAAAAAAAATAAATAAAAAAATCATACGAATTGTTTTTGTTAAAAAAACTTCAAGCTATATAACTGCCAAGAAAACACACATAATTGATTTCAGTCCTCTGTCCATGGTAAATTGGTATCTGTCATAAAATCAGCAATGGCCACAAAAATCCAACCATCCTGATTTTTTAAAGTAATCATTCAATTTTATAAATGCATCGAAAACACCGTCACAGACACCAAGTTGAATTCCCATATATATTAGTGTTTGTATTTGGCATGCAAGTGAATGACAAAAGAAAAACATTGATTGTTTTACCTACCAATATTAAAAATAATCAAGAATTGATTTGCTAATCAGTTAGCTTAGTGATAATTGATTTGCTTTGTCAGCTAGTATTAAAAGTAACCAACAATTGATTTGTTTTATCAGCAAGTTACTAATACAGAGTTTATTTATTCTCTTATTTTTAGTTGTTCAACTGCAACTAGCAAAATTGCCGACATACATTTTTGACTATTAATGTCTTCGATAATCTTTTATGATCAGCTTATAGAAGTTTGATTTAAAAAATAAAATTAAGATGAATCCAATAACATTTTTACATCATAATATGTGTAAAACTAACTCTGCTTCATATTATTTGCAAATTTTGCCAAAAATAGATGCTACACATTATTTGCAACAAATATTTTCTTTCCTTTATAAGTTGTTATTTCTCTCGATCTCTCTCCTTATCTCATGAATTCATATTTCTCTCTCTCTCTACTTTACACTCACAAACAAATTTTAACTAGGAGACCATGCGACCTCCAAAGTTACAAATTATATGAAACAAAGTTGGTATAACAAAAAAAAAAAATACGGTCAAAGCAAAATTCATAAATAGCGCCAAAAGTCAAATTCGACAACTATAAAAACGGAGAGTATCAAAATTTAAAACCGGCAACTAAATAAATTCTGCATCAAAATGATACGAGTAATCAGACTAATCACATAAATTACAAAAGGCCAGAAAATTCATTCTTCAAGCATATAATATGAACATATATATATATATATATATATATATATATATATATATATATATATATATATATATAGGCAGCAGCTAATACAACTATTACTATATATATATATATATAGAGGAAGGCTCATGTAAGAACCCAATCTTATATAAGAACCAAACTCAGCCGTTTATTAGGTTTGATCCAACAATCTAAAATGATAATTTAGTAATGACATTTCTGTAATTCTTCTTTTATATATAGGCAGCAGCTAATACAACTATTACTATTTTACTATCATTACATAATAAGTAGTACTATTGGTTTACAAAAATGGCAATGACAATGGCAGGAGTTGCTCCCTTGACCAAACAAGAACTAGCATCAAAGTTAGTTCAGGAGATAGCTAAAAAAGGAGATGAAATACCAGAGGACTTTTTCCGCAAAGATGGTTTCCCTGAAGCCATTGATGCCCCTGATCTGTGGAGAGGTGATTTGCTCATTGATTTTTCCCTCCTCTCGTCGTACTCTGAAACGGAACTCACAAAGCTCCGATTGGCTCTCTCCAAATGGGGTTGCTTTCAGGTAAGCTTAATTTCTTCCCGCCTCTCTCGTTCATTCTATCTTTCTACAAAACATGAAGTAAATCACTGTTTCTTTTGCTAACACCCTAATTTTGACAAGCATATGAGAAAATATTAGTAAATTGATCTTTGGCACGTTAGTAAAAAGAATATTTAAACCAATCATAAAAGTACACTAAATGAACAATGAGAATCAATAAAGTATCAAAATTATAGATTATTGTACTTTGATTCAAAATATAAAGCTTGCGCTTTTTTTTTTCAACACTTCCTATTTTATATTTATTAAATAGGTCATAAATCATGGGATAGAAGTCTCATTCCTTGAAGATTTGTTTGAAGTTTCCAAACAATTCTTCGCACTTCCCTTAGAGGAGAAACTGAATTACTCCGCAGTAGACGACATCGTTCAAGGGTATGGCACAGATTCAGCTTATTCAGGTTCTCAAACACGAAATTGGAATGATAGGCTTTTTCTTTTTCTCCATCCAAAGGAAAGACTCAGGCTTGAATGCTGGCCACAGAAGCCAGAGAAATTCAGGTAATCAACTTTAGATTCCTAACATCATTCCAATATCAGTACTGAGACTCTAAGAGTAAGATCACAAATATTGGCAGGGAAATGATAGAGGAGTATGCAAAAAACATATCGACGGTCAATAAGGTTCTCTGCAAAGCAATGTCAAGGTCACTTGGCTTACAAGAAAACTGCCTAGAGTTCGGGAAACATGGACCAGCAATAGCAAGGTTCAACCTTTATCCTCGTTGCCCATGTCCTGAACGTATTCTGGGAACAAAAGCACACTCAGACCACATGATGATGACGTATCTCTTGCCAGAGGTAGAAGGTCTCCAAATCTTGAATGATGGTAAATGGTACAAGGTCCCTCTCATCCCAGGAGCACTGTTTATCAACTTCGGCGAGTTAGGAGAGGTAAGTGTGCTCTCTGCACATTCACAGCAACCCATAATAATAACTAACTAACCATTTTCCACTTAAAAGTTACTTATCAGTTGTCATACAATGAAACCAAAGGATTGTTATGTTTTCACTTTGCAGGCTTTTACTAATGGAGTATTTAAGAGTGCAGTGCACAGGGTAAGTGCGAATTCTGCAAAAGATAGGATATCTGTGGTCATGTTTTTCAACTCGGACAATGATGAAGTTGAACCCCTAAGCGAATTGATTAGTGCTGACCAGCCCCAACTCTACAGGAAGTTTAACATGAAAGAATATAGGCCAAAAATCTATGAGAGTTTTAGTCTAGGCTTAAGAGCACTTGATGCATTCAAAGTTTAGTATCTACTCTTCATTAGAGTATAACTCATTTCCAATCTATTTCATGGGTGCTTCACTTTTTCAGAAGAGTAGCGTATTCAGCAGAACTTTTCTTCTGAGTTTGATAAGAATTGTTCATTAGTACTCGATGATACTTGGACTTGGGTATTCAATATGTTCCTATAATTGAGAGTTGCTTACGTATGAAAATTTCCCATTTTCTTGGTCCAAATAGAAGTGCCATATGTTGTTGTACCAATGTGGATATGTGTGAGTATCCAGGAAACGACATGGCACTTGAAGTGAAATGAAGAGTATGTGTAACATAGCTTGTGATTGTATGCGTCCTCTCCAAATACTTCCCAAGCCAAGTGTACTCTCTCCATCCTGAAATAGATGTTTTTATTATTTTTCATTTCTACACTTAATAAAAGTATTTGTCTATATACCACTTGTGTCCAGTACTAATATACTGTTTTCTGTAATTTGCAACAAACCCTTACGTCACATACTTGAGATTAGATGATGTAAATGGATAAACTAATCAAAATAACTTATACATGTAATAACTGACCCTTCCCTATTCCATCTGTTAAAATTATTTTGATAAATTCATTCGTTTACCTACTCTAATCACCTCTTGAAAAAACGTGTCCTAGAGGCTGTGTTGCAAATAAAAGAAAACAAAGGAAGTATTGTCCTATCGCTTTATTGAGAATTGTCATATTGTAAGAGAATAAAAGCAGTACACAAATATCGATTAAATATCAAGCCAGAATACCATTTGTACTTATAGCCATCATTGAACACACTATCAAATTCTAGAATGGTACTCCCCCTCCAACACCCCCCCCCCCCAACCACCCTTGGCCCACCCCTCCCCTTTTTATTAAGCTACACATTTAAATCGGCCATTTTTTTAAAGTGCTACACTTCTATACATGATAAGCTTCTACATTTTGGTATATATATTACTACTAGCATATGTTTTCAACCAGAAATTTCAACAATACTATGAACTACAATGGCAGAACCTGCTCCACTAGCCAAACAAGAAGTAGCAGCAAAGCTAGTTCAAGAGATAGCCACTAAAGGTGATGAAATACCAGAAAAATACCTCCACAAAGATGGTTTCCCTGAAGCCATTGATGCCCCTGATTTGTAGAGGGATGGTTTGCTTATTGATCTATCTCTTCTCTCTTCAAACTCAACACTGGAACTCGAAAAAATCCGATCAGCTCTCCCTCAATGGGGTTGCTTTCAGTATGCTTATACAATCTGATAAACCAAAGACAAGTTAGTTAGAGCTTAGTCACCCCAAAAAAAATGAGGGAATTCAGAGAAAAATCAGTAGCTATATAATATCAGCCAATTTCACCTTGATCATCATCATAACTAACTATATTTGACTCAATTCTTTTATATACAATGTGTCATACAGATGTATTATGTCTTATGCATGTGCTTGCCTGTTTGTTGGGATCATTCAATCATATTTTTGGCACTTCAAAGGACACCAACATTATAAGAAAACTTGCATAAAAGATAGTGCTTTAAATCAATGCCTAAGATAGGTGTCTCAGTTTAATACCAACTTTTTTAAATTAAAAAAAAAAAAGGAAAAAAAAAAAGAAGAAGAAGAAGTCAATATATTACACCATTTGCATAATAGGCAGTGCTTTTTATATCACAAAATAAGCATTTATTGTATAACAATTAGAGCCAACAAGAGCTTTACTTCTTTCTACAGGTCATAAACCATGGGATAGATAGCTCCTTTCTAAACAGCTTGATTGAAGTTTCAAGGCAATTCTTCGCGCTTCCCCTAGAGGAAAAGATCAAGAGCTCTGGATCAGATGACATCTTCCAAGGTTATGGGAATGATTCAATTTATGGAGATATTAAGAATATAGCCAGCTGGAATGATAGGTTATTTCTTACACTTCACCCTGAAGAAGACCAAAAGCTTCAATTCTGGCCTCAGAAACCAGAAAAATTCAGGTAACTCACAAGCTATTACCCCCCCCCCCCCCCTTTAACTTTATTTCCCCTTAAAATAGATCACAACCCATTCTAAGCATATACTATAATGGCAGAGGATTGTTAGATGACTACTCGAAAAGAATTGTAAGCATACAGGAGACTATTTACAGGGCGATGGCGAGGTCCTTGAACTTAGAAGAGGATTGCTTCTTAAACTCTCAAGGGAAAAAAGGACTTGTAGTAGGAAAGTTCAGCTTCTACCCACGTTGCTCAAGCCCTAAACATGTTCTTGGGTTCCTACCACATACAGATGGAACAACTATGTCGATTATCTTACCACAGAAAGGTGTTGAAGGCCTCCAAGTTCAGAAAGATGATATTTGGTACAAAGTTCCAACCTCTCCTGGAGCCTTGTTTGTCAACCTTGGTGATTTAGGAGAGGTATTTCAAACCCAATTTCTTTGCACTCAGATATGTTCATGTCATGATATCAACCCACACAGTAGGAAAAAAATATGATTCTTTATACATATATACATCTAGCTGTCATGATACCAATTTTGAGGATAAATAGAATGATCCTGAGCCATTAGAAATACCGTTCCACCACCATTATCCAACATCAATAATCATGTACACCGCAAATCTTAATATTAAACCATAAAAAGTGAATGTAACACCAAAAAAATTGGTATTGGAATGATAATGTTGTTTCTCAAGCATAATCAGCGCTCCTCACCAAATACAATTTAGTGATAATTAGTTTATATAATACTAACTTCTAAATAAGTATTATTGACGTATGCAGGTAATGACTAACGGGGTGTTTAAGAGTGCCATGCATAGGGTGGTCACAAGTTCTTTAAGTGAGAGGATATCAGTGGCTGCATTCTTCCACCCAGATAAGGATCAGGAAATTGGACCTTTCAGCAAGCTAATCAGTGTCCACAAGCCTCAACTCTACAAGAAGTTTAACATCTACGAGTTTCAGCGGACATTCTTCAAGAGCCATGCACTAGACCATAGGCCACTTGATGCATTTAAGCTTTAGTATGTTGATGATTTCATCTTTGACTACAACTACAACCTAGCTCAAAATAAGCCTTCATGACTTTTCTAAGGAGAGAATTCCTGTTCATAGAAATTCTCATTGAGGGGGTCAGATTGGTTCTAAGGTTGCTTGGCCTTGTAGTTTCCATCTTTAAATAAAACCTAGACTAGAAGTCTGGAGCATACTTAATAATCGGATCGTTTAAGTAATACTCTAATGTCAGTCTTGTATTATTTTTTGATATTTAGAAAAATTGTCACATTTTCTAAAAATATAATGTCATCAGATTTCCAAATACCCTCACTATAATGAAGTGGGAGAAGGGAAGGATATGACTAACTAAAATGATAATTTAGTGAAACAATGGTAAAAGTTTTATTGTAAGACGTTGGAACTTGGAACAATAGGAAAATCAATTAAGACAGAGCACCATGTTGAGCTGCTACCAAGAGTAAAACCAAGTAACATAAACCACAGAGAGAAATGTTACTAATATATGCATTTGGGCTATTTTTCAAAAGTGTACCCAACCAAATTGGGCCAGCATCATTTCTTGAATATCAGGGAAGCTAGGATGAGGCCATATATTGAGGCCCATTCCCACAATATACTCGGCCCATTTAAAAATGAACCAAACAAGAACCCACCAAAAAAAAAATGTAGGGTCTTTATTAATAAAATAAATTGGTAGGATCTTGGACAGAACTTTCTGACATGAAAATGAATTTACCTCAAATTCGACCCAAAACAAACTTGACAGACTAATAATTATGTGCAAATTAAGTCATATAAAATCAGTATATGCATTAATAATATTTAAACAAAAACAAACTTCAAACTTCAATGCAGATATTAAAAAAATGGGAGGAGTAATAACAGTGACAGAAGATAGAAGCAAAGAAATACATGTGTTGGCTTGTGCAACAATTAATGCACATGTAAAATTATCAAACATTGTGGCAAATTTGCAGACCAAGATGGTTGATTCGTTGGCTACAGGGCACTTCCTTATTTGAGCAAACTGGCATTACTTATTTAGTTATTTGTGAGTGTGAGTCACTTGTGAGCTGTGAACAGTGATGATAAATCTTATTCAAGCTAGTATAGAGTACAATTATTTTATTTTTCTATAAAAAAAACGTACCAATGAACTTGACAAAATTCACTTGTACCTGATTACTTGATCTAGACCTAAACAAAACCTGAATTACGTGACCTGATTTTGTTTAGAACCAAAGTTGGCTCAATGAAAAGATGAATGAGATCAATATAACTAAAACCGACCCAAAGTAAGCCAAAATACGTATCACCCAAACATGACATGAACAGTATTGAGCTCAATCAAACTTCATTCGGAGGACTCGTTTGCCAGCGCCAGACTATTATTCCAATTATAAAGATGGTCACAATAAACAAAAAAAATTACTACATGTTCCTGTTGACTTCTTTTTTTGTCCTTTAATAAATAAAAAGATCCAGACAAAAAATACTCACAGTTAGTATTTTCTAAGTTATTACATAGAACTTGAAGTCTTGAACAGTAGGATCATTCTTCTGGGGCAGGTAATACCTCTTTTCCTATAGGAAACATAGAGAAATATGTGCCAAATTCATTTGGGAAAAATTAAACAGTGGAGTACTATCCTTGTTTCTCTTTAAATAATTTATACCCAATATGGAACTCTAAATTAATTGAGAAAAATTAAAGTTCAGTCCAGATTTGGTTAAAAAGGAAAGGACCACAAACTTAATTGTCGAGCTCAATCAATAATCAAAATGTTTGAAACTATTATGTTTCGATAAAGGAAGTTCAACTTCTTAAAAATATGCAATTTACAAAGTCACAATTCTTTATAAAAAGTTTTACATTGTTTTTTTGGGCAGTAGTAAATAAGTTTTATTTACCAAGCATAGTTATGTCTTATGTATGTTACACTTTCAGAAAATACATGAATCGTATTTCTTACGGTCAACGTAACTAAGTCATTTTTCAATTTCTTATAAAGTACAACTTTTGTATTTTTACATGTCAATCAAACAACCACTAAACGATTATCCAATACCAATAAAATTTTAATTTTAGTAATAAGTACTCAAAACCGAACCCATGCACAGATTAAAGAAGGGAAAGCATGTTTAATGCAAAATTTCACTTAAAGTTTTAAAAACTAGCAAACCATTTAAAACAAAATCATTAATATTATTATACATCATCTTTACAAGGAGAAACCAAAGTCAAAAGTCTAATGCTCTAAAGAAGGGAAAGCCAGCTTCATCTACTGCTAGGATATGGCAAGGGACACTGAAATATTTATATAAAAATAACCCATCTTTGTCATTGTCTTACCTGCTGATATTAATTAACTTGATAAATAGACTACCCAGCTAATCTGATACTGCAAATCAAATTTCACAAAAACACAGAGTAGCCCAGAAAATAAGTTCCCCAACCACAAGCTTTTCAATTGGTAATACTACTAATTCTACTACTGCTACAATGCCAGAACCAGCTTCCATAACAAAAGAAGAATTAACATCAAAGCTAGTTCAAGAACTGACAAAAAATGGTGATGAAATACCAGAGATATACCTCCACAAAGATGGTTTCCCTGAAGCCATTGATGCCCCTGAATTGTGGAGGGATAATCTGCTCATTGATTTTTCACTCCTCTCTTCCTCGACACAGGAACTCGCAAAGCTTCAGTCAGCCCTTTCTGAATGGGGTTGCTTTCAGGTACGCTACGACCACAACTGGAGAAAGATCCAAATTCAAGTAGGAACAATCAAAAGTCAAAACATTGTCTTCAACATCTTTTTCATTCTTTTATCTGTGGGGGGGTGGGGGTGAATTATCATTACTTGCAGCATGACAAATTGATAGCAAAATTGAGTACATTTGAAGCTCTCTAGACCCTATCTGAACTGGATTAATTATAGGCTTTTGCTGTTGTTGACCTTTATGTAACTTGAATTTCTTTTGTACAACCCAAAATAACTTGATAGGAGTTTCATTCTTAAACCATTAAAAATTAAAATTGAGATAACTGATGATCATGATCCATGCAGTAGTATACAAATGATTATTTGAATCATAAGATTAAATATTATGTAATTTGCAAGAGTTGATGCAAATTAGAAATTTGTATTTATAGGTCATAAATCATGGGATGGACACCTCATTCCTTGAAGAGTTGATTGAAGTTTCTAAACAATTCTTCGCGCTTCCCCTAGAAGAGAAGCTCAAGTGCTCTGCAGCAGATGATGTTTTCCAAGGGTATGGAAGTGATTCAGTTTTTGCAGGGGCTCAAACTATCAATTGGAATGACAGGCTATTTCTTACACTTTACCCAGAGAAAAAGCGGAAGCTCCAATTCAGGCCAACAAAGCCGGAGAAATTTGGGTAAATTCTTAAGATAATTCATACTTTTGTTGAGCAAAATGTACAGAAATTCTGAGCAATGTCATCTCAAGGATCAACATTGACAGATTGTGACTTTTGTTGTGAATTTGACAGGGGAATGATAGATGAGTACTCAAATAAGCTGGCAGCAATGACTGAGGGTTTCTATAAGGCAATGGCAAGGTCACTGAACTTAGAAGAAGACTGCTTCTTAAAACATCAAGGGAAGCAAGGACCAATAACCGGAAGAATCACCCTGTATCCTCGTTGCCCATGCCCTGAGCGTGTTCTTGGGCTCAAACCACATTCAGATGGTGCAACAATGACATTTCTCTTACCAGATAAAGAGGTTGAAGGTCTACAAGTCTTGAAAGACAATCTCTGGTATAGGGTACCAGTCATTCCAGGAGCCTTGTTCGTCAACTTTGGTGACTTAGGAGAGGTAACTCTAGTTTTTGCAAATCGACCTTAGTCCCATGAAACCAAAAACAGATAATTTAATCATTTTATTAATCTAGAAGATAAGAATAAAATATGTCAGAATTATATAATGTTCAAGAATGTTCTCTTTTCAGGTTATGACTAACGGGGAATTCAAGAGCGTAATACATAGGGTGGTAACAAACGCTGCGAAAGACAGGATATCAGTGGCCGCATTTTGCACTCCAGAAGATGAAAAGGAAATTGGACCAGTCAATGAATTGGTCAGTATTCATCAGCAACAAAACTATAAAAGGTTCAACATCCATGAGTTTAGGCAGATTTTCTTTGAGAGCTATGCGCAAGGGCGCAGAACAATAGATGCGCTGAAGCTTTAGTATCAAAACGATTGTTTCTGAGGAAAAACAAATAATTATGGAATGTATTTTATATTGAATCGATTCAGTTTTGGAATTGATATTTATAGACATCTGTATGGTCACGCTTTTAAAAGTTAAATTCCAATTCATGTCAGTATTTGATAATTGTGTGTGTTTGCTTTTATGATACAAAAATTGATGTGATAAGACTGTGCCACTTAAGCTTCTAAGTTACCAGACACAAGAACTCATGTCAAATGCTTGATATTCACATGGATGTGATTACTAGAAACTTTAGCAAAAACGTTCGAAATTTTCGTAACTTTGTCGAGTTTGACACAGAGACACACACAGGAATATAATCCAACACTAATAGCCAAGTCACAAGACTCACAACATATAATCCTCGCTATCAATCAAGATTTAGGTGAAACTCAAACATTTATAATAGAAATACTATATCAAATCATTCTAATCTAGTCAACTGAGCCATAAATTGAGCCATTAGACATTAGAAAACAAAAGCATAGATAGAGAAAACTAAACACAGGGTGCAGATGCCGCTCCTGATAATAGTTGTTAGACTTTAAAACTGATAAACTGAACAGATTTTGACATATAAAACATACAGCGAGCTAAGTAGTAAACATACCAGACGATGAACTTGGTCAGGAATGAAAATAACACCAGTTCAACAGATGGCTTTTTGTACAGTTCTTAGTTCTTCAAATTCAAGGGCTCATCCAAACATGATCAAAGAGAGTGATGTTGCTTTCACCCTGCAGACAACGCTTTTACAATGATACCTACAAGCCACAACAAGAACGCATGGTCGCCAAACATCAAGTTTCTTCCAACTCCAACAATATTCACAGATAAACTGCAATCTGATTGATACACATAAGCTAGTCATTTGCACCAACGATTGACCCTAAGCCATCAAGAGTGCAAAACATAGACAGTGTTCACTTGAAATTAAGCACTTCGCCACTAGTATGGGTTAAGTAACCAATGTTCAATCATCCACTTTCGTGATAGTAAAAAAAATCATATTATGCTTGTGTTAGAAAGCCATTTAACAGCACATATTTAGTCAATTAGACTAACAAAATCACAAACATATTCATTACATTCCAAAGAAAGTCCATCTCAACAAATTAATGCATCCAGTCCATAGGGCATACTTGCCTGGTGAAAGAAAAGCAAGATTAAGTAAGCCAAAGAAAAAATTGATGGAATTGTAAACTCTTAGAACATTCATAAAAGTAACATACACATGCACTGCACACACACAAACACAGCCCAACCAAACTCACCTAAGCATAAAAACCTATCAACATCATCCCAACACCTATACAGAGAATCCCGCCTTGCGCGGGGTCAAATGGGTCCAAATGTACGCAACCTTATCCCTACGATAACAAAAAGGTTGTTCCAATTCACCGTACATCCAATCAACAAATGACATTCAATGAAGTGTATTTAACACACCAATGTATTGCTAGGTTTTTTATAGGGCGTCCACAAAAGGCAAGGAATTGTCCCAAAGACACTATCTTCCTCTCAATTTTCATTACAAGTCAAATGACTCAAATCCCACTCTAATTAATGCTCCTCCATTTTTTCAAATTTCTGACATTATAATCTTAACAGTTTTGTGGGGAATTCACATTGAATAATAGCAACTAACCAAGTCTTGGCTCGGCAACAAAGACTTGAGGGCTTGTGTATACGGGTTCGAATCCCCACTCCCCCAATTGTAATTTATAATGTCCTTGTGGTTCATTCGGATCAAAGGAAAAGCATATAAAGAAACCATAGCATTGGCAGAAGTGCAAATTAAAATATTACCAACATATTTAACCCCAAACAATAAAATTAATATATAAATAATCCCAAGAATTAGATAATAAAGCACATAAATTGAAATTTTAACAGCTAACGAGGAGCAATTGAACAAAAGCTTGGATTTTTATATATAATTATTGCTGGGGAGTTGTGGTGAACTGGTGATCAAGCTGGGAAAGAAAACAATAGAAAAAATTGAAGAAAAAATAAAAATTGGAACATTACATACCAGTAAAAATTAAAATTGGGGTAAATTGAAATATTTTCAATGTAAATCTTCAATACTATTCTTGTCAACATTGTAAAAGGAATAAAGCTGATGATTTTCGAGAGAGATCACATATTAACACCTTTCTATTTTCAATTTTTTGTTAATCAAAGAAGTTTGATGGTTAAACAAAAAAAAAAGAAAAAAAAAAAAACCAAAAGGTTTGATGGAGTTGTTTAACTTGGAGTAACTATGGCCCAATACCTGGTATGGACCGTCACGCCTAAGAATAAAAAAAAATACATAATACTAAATGCAATATAAAATTATTGCAGAAATTTATTGATATTAAAATAATAAAGGCAAATTCTACATGGTGGCCTTAAGGATTCAATTTTTCTATGTGAAAGACAAACTTTTTTCCAACTCTCTTAAGTGGCACCAAGATTTTAAAAAATTAAGCATAGTGCCTAATTTTTGATTTTTTGGCTAACTTTTTTAATTTTTGGTTAACCATAAGTAATTAAAAAAATTTATTTCAAAAAATTATTTTTTTAAAGAAAAAATAAAAAAAAGTGATTAATTAAAAAACTACCCCTACCAGCCCAACCACCTTCCACGGCTACGCAGCCCCACCAGCCCGACCCCCCTGCCTGCCCCCAGCTGGAGCGCCGCACCAACCACCATTCCCCTCCCCTTGAACCGCCGACTCCCCTCCCCATCACCCTGAAACCATCAACCACCCCCAAAATCCCCCTCCCCGTCCCGATCTTAGCCCCCTCCCCTTCCCCCGTTCAAATTCCGGCCCCTCCTCCCCTTCCCCGTTCCGATTCCAACCCCCTTCCCCTTTCCCGATACCGATTTCCACTCTCCCCTTCCCGTCGCGATTCTGGCCTCCCTCTCCTTCCCCCGCATCGATTTCGACCTCCCTCCCCTTCCCCCGTCTCGATTTCGGCCCAACTCACCGTCCCCGTCAACAATTTCGGCCGCCCGGTTAGCGGCATCTTATCTCATTCTTTATTTTCGGTTAGGGGGAAGGGGAGGGTGGTCGAATCGGGGAAGGGAAAGGGAGTGGCTGGGGTAGGGCTGGTCGGCCGGCCGGCGTGAGGGAGAGGGACAGGTCTGGGGCGGTGGCTGGCCTGTGGGATTAGAGTTTCGGCGAGTTGGTGGTGGCTGGGTTGGTGATTGGGGTTTTTTTTTTTTAATTTTATTGTTTATAAAATAATTTTTTAATAAAAAAAAATAAAAATTAACCATTTTAACCATAAAGGTTAACCATTAAACCTTAAAAAAGGCACCATGCTTGATTTTTCAAAGCCTTGGTGTCACTTAAGAGAGTTGGAAAAAAGTTCGTCTTCCACGTAGAAAAACTGAATCCTTAAGGCCATCATGTAGAATTTCTCAATTAATTTTATCATTGAAGAAATCCTTCCTCAAAATCGTCTAATTGACTGATTAAAGAGGCTAGCAGGTGTGTGTATGAAAAAATTGGTAAAACAAGAAAATAAATGAGAAACTACAATACCGGGAATAGGAAGGTTTTTCAATTTTGGGAATTGCAATATAAAAGGAATTGATTGGGGTAATATAAAAAATTGTATTAATGATTCTTACATCTCCCTCATCCCAAAATGTGACATTCCTTCTTCTATGAAAGATTTTAGACCCATTGGCCTATGCAACTCTATTTACAAAATCATATCTAAATGTATCTCCAACCGCCTAAAACCTTTCATGAATACCCTTATTAGTCCTTTTCAATCAAGCTTCATTCTTAATAGAAGTATTGAGGAAAATGTTATTATCATCAAGGAAGTTTGCCACCATTTCAACAAGGCTTCCAAGCAAGCTAATCTTATGGCTTTAAAAGTCGATCTTTCCAAAGCTTTTGATAGCTTAGAATGGGATTTCATAAGAGATACTCTTATGAGCATTAATCTTCCCTCAAACTTGGTGAATCTTATTCTAAGCTGCATTTGTTCTCCTACCAATTCTCTTCTTTGGAACGGGGAAATCACAGAGTCTTTTAAGCCTTCTAGGGGTATTCGTCAAGGAGATCCCTTATCTCCTTATATTTTTGTTCTTTGCCTTGACAGATTATCTTCTATTATTCAACAGAAGGTTGATCAAGGTGCTTGGAAACCTATGAAAATTGCTAAAGATGTGAACATTTATCATCTTTTCTATGCGGATGATGTTTTCCTTTTTGGAAGGGCTTCATCTTCTAATATTAAAGTCATGATGGAAACTCTTGATCAATTTAAAAGCATTTCTGGATTATTTATCAACATTATGAAATCTTCTGCAATTTTCCCAAAGAAGATGAATCATAATGTAAGGAAATCCATATGTGACATATGTAATATCACTAATTCTACTAGCTTTGGGAAATATCTAGGCGTTATCATTTCTCATAAACGCTTAAATGGAAAAGATTTTTTCCCTCTTTTAGATAAAAGTTGCTTAAGAATCAGAAACTGGCAAGCTAAACTTTTAAATATGGCAAGAAGATGTACCTTAATCAAATCTGTCTTGAATTCTTATCCTGTTTACATCATGCAAACTAATGTTATTCCTTGTGGTGTTCTTAATGATCTTCAGAAAAAATGTAAGCAATTTCTTTGGAATAGAGTAAACCGTTCGAGATATGTTCCTAGAACTAGTTGGAAGGTTATATGTGACCCCATGGGTAAAGGTGGTTTAGGCATAAGAGATCTTAAAAGATGGAATCTTTCTTTTATGGCTAAATTAGGATGGAAGATCCTCACCCAGCCCCATAAATTGTGGATTCAAATCCTAACCTCCAAGTATTTAAAATATGCCAATTTCATTGACTACTCCCCTAAACCTTCTGATTCCATTATTTGGAAGGATATCCTTGCAGGAAGATCGGTTCTTAAAGAGGGTATTATCATTAATATTGGAAATGGGGAAGACACTTGTTTATGGTTCCACCACTGGATTGGGGAATGTCCTATTTACCTCCTCCCTAATATAAAGATTCCAGACTCCAAGGGACATTGGAGAGTTTCTGATATTATCAGAAATAGGAAGTGGCACCTGAAAGAAATCTCTCATATCATTCCCCCCTCCTTAGTTACTTTAATTTTGGCATATCTCTTCCTTCTCTAGTTCATGTTCCAGATGGAATTAAGTGGACTAAGGATAAAATGGGGAGCTTTACTATTAAATCTGCTTACAACTCGACTAACCCCATTTACAATCTCAACTCTAATTTTCTATCTACTTTTTCTTGGAAAAGTCTGTGGAAAATAACAGTTCCCTTCAAATATAAAATGCTTCTTTGGAATGTTGTTAGGGATATTATACCAGTTGGTTCTTCCCTCATAAAAAAAATTCCTTTTTTCGATCCAACATGTGTTAGGTGTGAAGCCCCTCTTGAAAATGCCATTCATGTCTTTAGAGATTGTCCAAACTCTTCTGCCTTTTGGTCCTTAGTCTTTCAACACTTTGCTTCTCCTGTTTTTGATTATGCCAACTTTTACAACTGCAGTTTGTCGGAGTGGTTAACCTTTAATTTAAGCAAAGACACCAACTGGAAAATCATTTTTGTAGTGGCAGTTTGGCATCTGTGGAACTCAAGAAATATGACTGTTTTTGAGAAAAAAATGGTGTTTTTAAAATCGACTTTTAACAAATTTTTGGTGGACTATCATTACACTTTAAATATGAAACAGGATCACTTGACTACCAATGCATCTTCAAGCTCAACCATCAGGAAATGGGCTCCTCCTCATAAGGGTTATTCAAAGCTGAACTCAGATGGCTCGTGGATGGGTTTAGATAATGCTGGTGGTGGTGGCGTTCTCAGATGTGATAAGGGCCTTTGGAAAATTGGATACGCTGTCAACTTCAATGCCATGACTCCGGCGGCTGCGGAGCTTCTAGCCATTAAGGAAGGCTTACTCATTGCTTGGGACAGAGGTATCCGTCTTCTGGAACTGGAAACTGATGCTGAAGCTTTGAAAAAAATGTTGCAGGATCCGGAATCTTTCAAGGATCATGATTTGGGAAATGTAATCAAAGATGTTGCTTCTATCATTGAAAGAGACTGGCAAGTCAGTATCTTTCATGTTCATAGGGGTATAAATGGCGTTGCAGACAAGCTTGCTAACATGGGAAGAACCAAAGTAAGGAGAGGTGAAATAACTCTCTTCCACTACCCCCCTGCTGATCTATTCGAGGACTATGCCAATGACCTACCAGAAATGGTGGCCATCTAGTACCTTTTCAGTGCTCTTGGTCATGCCTTTTGTCAATCAGCAACATCCCAGAATACTTTTGTCTATCTTCCTCTGTTTTTCTTTGTT